GGGCCTAAATCTTTCAGAGCTTTTTGCGCCTGATCACCAAGAGGCTGGAGAGGTGGGAGGGACATGGGGGAAAGAGCTCAAAAGAAATGCCAGGTAAAAGTTCAACAGCTCAACATTATGAAATATTTCAAATCAACTGCTAAAGCCTCGCGAATTTTCCAAAGCAGGGTCCACGCGGTCCGGGGATGGAGACGAAAACACCAAAGGGGAGGAGAAGGCAAGGCTTTGGGGTGGAAGGGGTGCATTCGCTCCCCACCCCCGCTTTCCTTTCAGTCCCAGCTGCTCGAGAAGGGAGAGCGCTGGGAAAGGAAACAGAGCGGAATCGCCCACATTAGCCTCGCTCTTCGGTGACCCCGCGCCTCAGGGCGTGTGTGAGCGTCTCCTTTCTAATGCCAATGACAACGACACTGATGGTGATTTTCTGTGCCTCGCCCACCCCTTTGCAGGCAACTTTGTAAAGAATTTACGGATCTGCTGGCGCAGGACCGGACACCGATCGGGAACAGCCGACCCAGCCCCATCCTGGAGCCGGGAATCCAGAGCTGCCTCACGCACTTCAGCCTCATCACGCACGGCTTCGGCGCCCCGGCCATTTGCGCCGCGCTCACGGCCCTGCAGAACTATCTCACCGAGGCGCTCAAAGGCATGGACAAGATGTTCTTGAACAACACCACCACTAACAGGCACACGTCTGGGGAAGGCCCAGGTAGTAAAACTGGCGACAAGGAGGAGAAACACAGGAAATGAAAAATTTAAAAAAAGAAGGAAAAATGTTTTAAATACAAAAAGAAAAACAGACAAAAAATTTAATTTTAGCTTTAAAATATTGGATTGGCTTTGGAAGAATTATATTAGGTAGAATACACATACAATCAAAATTTTTAAAAACTAAATAACTTAAAAAAAACTGAGGCGTACAACGGAGCAACAATATCGGTTCTCGGTGTCTATTTCAAGATACACTTGGAGACAACCGTCCGGATTTCCCACTTCGGTTCTTTCGAGCTTAGTAATACTGATAATAAAAGAAAACCATGATTTCCCCTTCCCTTTGGAAAATAAACATAAGACTAAACATGAGAAAAACGCTAACTTATTGGAAGAAAATCGGAGAAACGTTGGTGTCAGTGCTTTGAGAGCTGGTTGACTGAGACGCACGAACTTTTAAATTTTAAATATTTTTTTTTAGGAAACTCTCTCGCAGTCCCCGCCCTCCACGTCACCTCACCCTTCTCCCAGCCACCGTTTTCCTCGTTACCCTCACTTCCTCACATTGTTACGGGAATCTTCTGGGAGGAAAATGAGTATGGTTGGCCCTTTTGCTTGGTTTCAGTCCTCTCTTTACCCCCCGCCCCGCCCTGCGATCTTAACTCACTCGGCCCGGCTCCCCGGCTGCTTGCATAATTAGGGAGGGCGAGGGCGGGGAGGGAGGCCTGCGGAGACTAGGCGGAGGCTGCAGTTTTTGGTGCCAGCCGGCCGAGCAGGTTCCGGCGGCTGATGAAAATCCGGACCAATAAGTTGATTCAGACTCATCATCAGTTCCTTTCAGAAATGTTACTATCTCCCAGCCTTGCCAGCATCTGCATACAAAAATCTCACATTTGTTATAGTTGTGTCATCTACCAATTTTATGAACTATAGTAAAAAAAAAAAAACACACACACACACACAATATGAATACGTTGATTAGTATGTAATTCCTTCGGAGGGGTATGTACCATTTCATTTTCTTCTGTTTTCCAAAGCTTTGCCCGCATGGTTTATGAGCTTCTTCAAAGAGGACTTGGGCTTCCTACACAATCTATAAGGTACAGAGAAAAAAAATCCGATCCCTTTTTAATCAAAGCCTGTGTGTCAGAATTCTGCAGGTGCACTTCTTTAAAGAAGCTCAAAGGGAATAATTTAGAAAGTGGCCAATATGATGGAAGCAGCTTTGAATCTACATGCTAACATTCCTCAACACTCGAATTCCGGTGGGGGTGGCGGGGCGGAGGGGGGACTGCAAAAGGAATTTTAAGGGAAAAGAGTAAGGATTCTTAGAGCCCTATATTCTAATAGTATTGCCCTGCATTTAAAATTGATTTGATTTCCCTGGGTTCTTTGGTGATTGCTGTTTAAACGAGGAAAGAAGCAGCTTTGCGAGTGAAAGTGGGGAGGAGGGTGGCACAAGCTCTCACATTTCTGTAACAATTGCTTTCTTACAAGATGCTTTATGAATGAGGCATTCTTTCCCTCCCAGACGTGCACTTGTTTCGGCATATAATGGCAAAATAATGCAAAGTGAAAGGAGATGTATTTCAGCTTTGATTTTTACCGTCTGGATACACTGGGACTATTCCCAGTGGATAAAGTTTCATGCATTTAATATTTCTCACTTCTGGCAGCCCAGCTTCATTCCTGGGCTCCATCTTAGCATTATCATGAAATAAGATGTGGAATCCATTGTCTACACCTTTCCAAAAGCTGTGAGAAATTATCCCGGGATGAGGGTGAATGAGAGAAGTCTCTAAATACAGTGTAGATACACTCACCTATTTAACAAAGTAGACAGGATCTTTACAATACCCCTTGAAGATAACGATATAGATGTTGTTCTACAGGACTTATAGTTAGGACCCACTCAGTTCTCCCGGATTTTCAGTTTTGCACCCCTCCCGGTTTTCCTTCGTGGGGGTGGGGACTGGGGAGGATTGGGAGGTTGGGGTTTTAGGAACCTGCTGGGTGCTTTGCCAGTTTTTATTAAAAGAGGATGGGGAAGTTAAGAAGCTGGTCTCACGTCACCAAAAGGGCCCAAGCAACTGTTGGGGCCACACTGCAGCCCATCTCCAACGCCTAGCTTCGTTTGGCACCTCTGATCTTCAGGGCCCAGCCCTAGACCTGTTGAGAGGAATACAATGGCCAAGAACTAGACGTTATGGAGAGTGTAAGCACTCTCTTTTCCCAGCTTAAAGGCCTGCGCCTTCGTCCGAGGGCCTGGCCGCTCGCATTAGATGTGTTTTAATTGCACAAGGCCAGAAGAGACAACACTGAAAACGATCGTCTCCTTTCCTTGCAGGGCAACGCGCCCCACGCGTGTGACGTGCGAGAGACGCGATGGACGCGCCTTGCTCTAACTGTGCAGGTCCTGAGAGCGTGTGGGCCACAGACGCCCAGTCGTGTTGAGGACGTAGAATCAGCCGCTGGAGGGGCTGCCGGCTGCGCGGGCCCTTCCCGTTCTCGGTCTCACCCTAAGAGCTAAGGCGACCGAGTAAGCCCCATTCTCCAGTAGGTAATGGGGCGGCGCCCTGTGGGCTGCAGGTGGGGAGGGCTCTCAGCGCTGCCAGCGGCCACTCCCGGCGCCTGCTCCTGGAGGGAAAGTGGTCTAGAAATATCCAAGGAATACGAAGCTTTCCCCTCCTCCACCTTTGCCAGTACGGAAACACCCCACCATCACAATCCTAAAGCGGGGAAATGGGATGGGAATTGTCTTACTTGGCAAGGCAGGCTACCTTCATTGGCCTACGCCCTCATTTGTGTGTTCCTCCCTGCTCCAGCAAGACAGAACCTTTTGCGCCCCACCCCCAGCCTCCCGGTTGCTGGAGTGAGCCCACTGCCCTTTTTCTTTCCCTCACTTCTCCTTTCAAGTAGGTCCCCCGCCCCCTTGCTTTAGTTAGCCAGGGCAGCTACATTTATCTGATAATTGAGTTATTAAAAGATTTGGTTTCCTTGGGTCTATAAATCAATAAACAGTAGGATTAACGCAATAGTTGGCCTTTTAAGTCGAGGGAAACGTTTAAGGCAAATCCCTTTGAGCTTTGTTTTTCAAACCAAACAGGTGAGTTGCAGCTCTCTCCCTGACCCCTGCACTCTTCAGACATTTGGCCCCTGCCAGTGCCAACTCCTAAATGCTCAGTCCCAAAATAAAATAGAGAAAGACAGGAAGAGTTAGGATGTGGCAGTGCTGCCTTCACACTTTCCACTTCGCAAGTTCTTTTAAAGGTTCCAAAAATCTCCAGACCATTCTCTGCCCAACCCTGCCGCCTCCTACACTTATTGTGGGTCCCTGGGGAGCAAGAATTGTGCCCTTTGGGTGAGGATTCCATCACCTAAAAAGATCTTTACCCTCTACCCCAAAGTAGGAAGGTAACTTTCTCCCCCTTCTTCCCGCCACCTTCATTCCCACATCCCCAATTACCCGGGGCTTTCTTTCCTTCTTTCGGGCCTCCACACCCATAGCTTTCTCCACCCCACCACTTAAGGAAAGGAAGAGGCTTTCAAAGACCTGGCTGCATTGTTTTCTTTGGCCAAGGAAGCCACTTTCTCTCAAGCAATTATTTTATATCCTATGAAAACTTTGGCCAAATGGAAAACTCGAAACCCCAAACTTATCTACACACTGTTCCTCTGCTACAAGGCGTTCCTAGTTAAGAGTGTTTATAGACAATTTGTCATCACAACTGATATCCTGTACTTGTAATACATTATGTGGAAAGGAAATAACCTTAAACCATCCGATGTTGCCTCAAGAGCCCAAACAGCGTTTCCCCTCCTTTGCCAGTATGTGAAATTACTGGCTTAAAAAAAAGTATCGAAAAAAAATTTTTTTTTAGCGGAATGAACACTATCCTTCTTTAAATGCCAAAATCGACTACTCTTTTCAGTTGGTCTCTAATTCTCTAACATTGTTTTTGCCACACAATCAAGAAATATCAATCTATTGACTCTTCACAAGAAGAGCTCTGGAGGGTATTCATGTCAAGTTTGTATATATTTATTTATGCTTAATTTAATGGGAATGTGTAAATATGGCGAGCAAGTAGTTTGGGATTATTTATCTGTGAATCTATACCTCTGTGAATGGGTGGTTAAAAAAAAAAAAAAAACCGCTTGACCCTAGGTAGAATCCTATCTGAATTTTTCTGTTCTTTATAAACAAGCTGTTATGGTAATGGGTAGAAATTGGTTTATTGTCCAGTGTTAATCTGATTTACATAAATAAAAAGATTGTTGTGTTTTTGTTGTGTTTTCATCTTCAGTTTCTTAAATGTAGACAATATTTAACTCTATAGAAAGAGGAAAACTACAGCAAGAAGCCTTTTTCTTTTTGTCCCCTTATCAATGCACCCACAGCATTTTCATTACAACAGAAATAGAATAAATTCTGCTTCTTAGAAAAATGAACACTTTTTTTCACTAGGAAGTGTTTTTGATTTTTTTTAAATTACAAACTGACATTCTTCTCTCCTATTTCTAACCAGATTTTCTATAAAAGCTAATGTTAACTGAATCTTTTGGTTTATTTTGCCCTTCACAAATTGAAGAGTTGAATTTAATTCCCAGGTAACTAAAGGACTCTGGGTCCCTGTCAGAGATGATGCTCCCTTCCCACTGCTCATACAGTGGCATTCTGGCATGGTGTTCTAAGAAGGAGATGGTGCACGGTACAGGAGAAGGCTTCAGGGCTGGGTGTGGGCTCCTGCACCCCTCAACTTGGGATCTGAAGGAGTTAACACCCATTTCAGGGTTGAACCGGACCCTGATCTCATTAGCAGTACAAGGCCCTCCATAAACAAAGGAGGAAAAAACCTTCCTCAACCAAGAAGAGGAAAAAGGTGTACATGTCTTAGGAAGATGACTCAGGCTCAGAGGCTGCCTAGAGAAGTCAGAGCTTTTCACACCTGGGTTAATAGGCTTCAGTCTGGCCCTAATGGACTGCAGTGATCAAACATCATCTCAATCTGTATTTTATTCCAAGGCTTAGGTGTCTTCCCTGAGGCCAGGAAAGCAAAATCATCCACGATGTTATACAGTTTGGATGAGTCACTGTTCCTTTTTGTGCCTCAAGGTCTTTATCTGTAAAAATAAATATGGACTTTCTAAGTTCCTCTACTTCATTAATATTGCCTAGTTTAATTATAAAAAGCAGAAATAGTAACCTGTATGTGAATTTAAGAATTGGAAATGTTAAATCTTGATGATCCCAGATCATATGAGTGCTTAGCATATAGTTTGTTTTCAGTTAATATGCCTCGCATACCAATTTTGTTTTTAAAGGTGAATCTTTTTCAGTTGGACTTCCCTATAGGGAAAGACAGAAGGAACAGTGGAATCCACTGTATGTGAGATTTCACTTTCCTGTCCTATTAATTAAAAGGTGGGAGATCATGGCTAGAACTATAAACAGTGAACTCAAAGAAAAGCAAAACAATAAACAAGTGTGTGGGGGGGCAGTAAAAGGAAACAGAAAACCAAGGAATGTGTGATTATGAGGACATATATCTACCTAGAAAAAAAAAATGTCTTAGTCTCTGGTTCAGTCATTACATTGAGTTTCCTTTTCATTTGCTTTACAGAGGATGGGGGTTGGTTACCACTGGGATTATACAAAGCAGGTGGTGGGTAATTTCCATATCCTATGGCAATTTTTTCCTGCTCAAGGTTTGCACCAGCCCTTGATAAACCGACCTGCAATCTATTATCCCACAGGTAAGCTGCAGGCTACCCAAACCCACCAGCACCATTTGGCAAGGAGAGGGTTTGAGACAATCATGTATAGCAAGTAAAACTCAAGATTTTGAGGAGCATGAAAAGAACTGGCAAGAAAAACCAGAAAAGGAAAGAAAAGGGATTGGAAGCTGGAGACAGCCTTGCCTCATAAGACAGCTCTGGACTGAGTGTCACAGCTCCCGGCCCCTTTGTTATCTGTTAAGAGGCTGTGGAGGGAGTAAGGAAAGAGTAGTAGTTAGAACCTCTAGGTCATTGACCGGCCCAGAGCGGGGACCCTGGGTGACCCTGGAGGAGGGGTCGCTGCCGACCCTGACTGCCAAGAGACCACCAGATCCGGTAGGTGGCTTATGGTGCCCCAGAACGCACCCGCCGGCCCGAGTTAGCGGGTTAAGGACTTGATTAAAAATAGTGCTGGAAGGAAGACCCGATTTCTTTTTTTATGAAGCCACATTCATTTTCTTCATTTGCAAGCAACAGTTCCGTAGGTTACTTGCAGGTCACTCCTCAGGGACCCCGGGCGCCGGAGTTAGGGGCCATCTGAGAGTTGTTGGCCCGGTAGGACGTGTCCCTTCCTGAGGGCGCTCACGGCTTCCCGAGGCAAGCTGCCTTCCACGAGTGGACTTCGAGGGCGGTTGTCTGTCATGTCGAAGCCTCAGAAAATAAACCTGCAGTTCACAAGTCCATTAATTTTAGCTTCCCATTAATCTATTTATAAGTGAGCTAGCGCTTGCTCTATAAATACAGTCCTATAAAATTGAACTCCTTCCCATAAATCTTCCAAGTTGTTTATTTACATGTATTCCCTGGCTCTCTAACGATCCTCGTGTAAACTTGGGGAAGACTCGGGCAGACCCGACCCGCGACTGGGGGCTGTGGAGGCGGGGGATGCTCTCTCCTTCGGTTCCTTCCCGCTGGGATCGCGGCCTCCTAGGGGAGGGAGGAACTGCGCGCAGGCGGAGGGGGTGGATAGAAAAGAGAGGGCGAAAACACATTTTTCCTTCTTGACTTTGTTTCCTTGTTTCTATCCCAAACTCGCAGTCTTCATATTCCCCATCACACGCTCCACGGTGATTTATATCGTCATAAACAGCATTCTTGCGACTGTAGCTCCTCTCATAGCTTGAGGTGAGCTCCTTTTTCACTTTCCTGGCAGCCACTACTTTAAATCAGGCCTCATAAATAACCCCATGGGCTTCCTCAGGATGAGGTCAGTCCAAAGTCTCCCCGGGTCCACTTTCTCCGCTTGGGTTCCGCCATGCCCCTCCCCTGGGTCACAGGTTGGCTCACTCCCACTGTCTTTCCCTCAGGTTTCCAGAGCTCAATAGCCGACACCAGTTGGGAGACTCGGTAATACACCCGCTCTGGGCACAAGAACCGCGGGTTAACGAATCGCGCGTGCGCCGCCGCAGCCTGCGTCGAGACAACGCACGCTGCGCCGGCTGCCCGCGTCTAGGCGCGCTCTCTGGGTTGCCAGGCAGGGTGTTAACAAGCGCGCACGCGCGGATGCCCACGCAGGCGCACGCGCCGTGGCGCCCCCAGGCGTAACCCCAGCAGCCAGTACTGCCCAGGGCGCGCAGCTCGCCCGCTAGAGTTTGTGGTGCGCGCCCTCGTGATCAGGGCACCGGAGTTTGAAGGGGCTGCGGCGTGGGAAGCCTTTAATTTTTTTTGTAAACTGCGTATACTCAGATTGAGGAAGCAGTTTACCACACAGGTTCAACACGTTTCACGCTGGTCACAAGCTAGCAAGGTCAGTGATTTTTCGCCCACTTGTTCGAAAACCTATTGGTTCCTGCCCACCCTGCTCTTCGCTTTTTCTCTTCCCTCCGAAGGGCTACAGCCTTCTGGGGCTGACTCAGGCGAGAGGCGTCCAGGGCCCAAATAGGGGTCACACCTGCTACCAAGAGAGTCTTCTGCATAAAAATGCTCTTTAATTTTTTTTTTTAAATCAGCATAATGGCCAATGGACTTAACAAAGCGTGACTTGCCCAGGCTGCACGGAGGGCAGCTCTGGCAGTCATCTGTAACTCGACCAGTTAACGTCCCGAACGTGCCTGTTCGCGGAGATATTAGCAAACGTTTCAAGGATGTGGCTGTCAGATGTCATTAGCCAACGCCTGCTCACCCAGCCATTTGCCTAACTGAGAGAAGGGCATGGCCACAGCGTTTAGGCGTAGAATTTGGGGAAGGAGGGGTGTCACAGTTTGTTCTCTATAACAGCCAAATGTCCCGAACTGTGCAGACATTTATCAAATGGCTGGAGAAAAGCTGGCACCTGAGCAGTGGGGTACAGAGACGTGGAAAGTGGAGCTTCTCTGGGACTGGGACTGAACATGCAAGTCATGCGCGTCTTCTCTAGGGTGGAAACTCCCCAAACCAGACAGGTCTACTGCGTAGAACAGGTTGGCAGATCGAGTCCAGCCATTGAGCCCTAGCACTTGCTATGTGAACCATATGGTCCTGAACACTGGAAATTCAGCCTCCGGACTCTAGATCAGATGCCCTGCAGCTCAGAAGCATCTGATCAGGAGGAAGGCCGGTGGCGGTTACTTGGACAAAGAGAGTGCAACTCTAAACTCGAGTTTCTCGGATTTAGAAAATCCGATCTTTAAGACAGTTTCTACACAGCGTTGGATTTTTACTTCAATGGTCAGCCTCTTGTTCTAAGTTTGAAAAGGGTCAGTAGGTGTTGTACAAAATGGCTGAGAAAGTACCAGTCAAAAGCAAGGAAAACAAGTATAAAGCCAAATCAAACCACAGTGCTCCATTAGTTAGTCCTTGCCAAACAAATTAACACACACACACACACACACACACACACAAAATGTCAGTACTAACTTTTGCGATTAAAGTCAATCTTGGACCAGGAAGAATTTTGTGTAAATATTATCCTCTCTGATACATGATTTGCAAAGTGACTCGGTGAAAGGCCCTTTTGGGGGATTGTAGTTAGGGCTACTTACACACAATATCAAAATATGGGAACTCCCCAATATCCGGACTAAATAAAACTCAACCACAACAAAGTAGTGTTTGCCAATGTGAAATTTCTTTGCCATGAGAGTCCCACATATTAAACAGAAGAAATTATTTTGTTTTTGTTTTTGTTTTTTTCATTACTTAGGTTTTAAGGCTCTTTCTTCTCTAGTTTCAATAGAATTCTTTTGTCCAGGGAATCCGAAAGTTGGGGAACTATTAAGACTCAGGCAAAAGTAAGTTTTTTGTTTTTTTTTTTTTAATAGGTTGTTTCAGGGGCTTTTCCTTTTGCTATGTTTAGGGAGGCAGGAGAGGGGGCCACAGGCATGAGCCCTCCCAATGAAATGAGCCCCCTGAATGATGCACTTACCTTTATGTTCAGTCTAAATATTCTTTTCTTCCTCGAATATGAAGACCATTCAAGACAATGGGACCAAATAATCTAAAGAAGGATCAAGCTGATTTGGTCCCTGTGACCTTTTACCTTTCCTTAATTCTCAGTAATAAACATCTGTGTTTGGAGCCAATGTCTGAAAGTAATAAAGACAATTAGAGCATTTTATTTTTTCTTGGGGAGGGGCAGTTGGGTGCCAGTGTACAGAGGTTAAATCCTTTTCTATAACACTGTTTTTCAGGATGAAACTAGTGGAATAACATCCACTAAGCCTTGCTGCTTCTCAGGCCCTAAGAAATGGAGTGTACTAATGATGTACTCTGAAGCTCTAGGTCATTCATATGTTTCTTCCCCATCTTTATTATCTGTGGGCATTTAAAAAACAATCCTATCATATGTCACCTATACACCAGGAACAGAAGTCTGCCTCTCTTCAATCTTGTTTGGGATTTACTTTCAGATGTGAAGACTATTAAATTAGGTTCCAGAATGCGTTCTCACTCTCTCATCAATTTTGTGAAGGCACTTCCCTCTTTCATCCACCTAAAAACAAACTAAAATTAAACCAAGCCTCAACCTTGACAAAACACTAATACTAACTACATGTTTGTCAATTTTTTGAAAAGTGTTTCAATCTTTAGTGTGTTGACTCTTAACTGCAGAGTCAACTAAATCTCAAGCCCATTTGAAAGGGTCAAAGATCTGAAAGAATAAGATATTCCAGAGATAGCCGGTTAGAGAAATTTGTCTCTAAAATAAATGTCAAGAGTGAAATAGCACATTTCCTCAGTACATGTTGTCCTTATGGCACTCTGCTGTGGATTTTTGATGATCCAAAGCAAATCTATTACATATGCATGCAGAAAACTACATAACAATTTGAAACTTTTGGGTCAAGTTTAGGTGGAAAAGTGACAAAATATCTCTCTATATCTTTCTACATGTATCTCCTGGAATTACAATTGCAGTGAAACTTTTTTCCTAATGGAAAAATGTGATTTAGAAAAGCCATTCTATTTTTAATGTTTTAAAATTTGTAGAAGGGGATGTATCTAGTAACCAGAGTGTGAAACCTTAAAATGAGGGTAGAGTTTTCCTGTCAACTGGATACTGGATAGCTTCCCTGCATGTCATCACTCTAACGTGGACACAGAAACATGAGTTTGTAGTCGAGTCATTCTACATTTAATCGCATATGTGCACACATAGAAGACAGTTTCCACTCATCATTTCTCCTTGATGTTAAACATGTGTTGGGAATTTTGGAGCTCTGTCTTCTCCAGATCATATTTGTGACTTTGTTCTTACACATGCAGTTTGGAAACCTACAAGGTGATAACTAGGTTATTCTTCCTCTCCCATTTTTTTCCTTTTCTTCTTTCTTTTTTTTTTTTGCTGTTAATAACACTGTCCTTCCTTTTCTCTCCCTCGCTGACTCCCCCTCCCCAGCATTCTGTCAAGCAATAGGCTGTAAAATAGTTATCCAGACCAGCAGCCAGGCAAGTGCCGTTTGAGAGTAATTTCTGCCCCAAGCGTTTAGCTTAGGGCAAAGCAAGCGTGCTCTCTAACTGATCAACCTGGATATTTCATTATTCATTAATTTACTGTTTAACCAAATCCCACTCATTATCAGAGGCAACGCTTGGCAGAGCCCAGCGAACAGTAGCAGTTGGTGTCAGGCATGGAGAATTGGCCCATTTGATCCTGGGCTGTTTTATTATTCAACACCACTGACTGAGAAAAAGGTCCATGAATAATAAAGAGCCAAAGCGTGTTTGAACTGAGAAGCATGACACAGCCTTACAAAACAGCAGTTAGAAAATTAAAGGCAAGGTGGCCCAGACTTTGCATTTTTTATCTTGGCTGTGGGCACAGACATTTATATCCCTACATTGTTTTCAGTGATTTTTTTTTTCAAGTCCTTAAGACAGAGGCATTTGTTTCAGTCGCACCCTTTCAAAACAGGCCATTGAAGAACTCAGGAGCAAACTTACACAGCAAGAAACAAACATGCCTCCAGATGGGAACTTGAAAATGTAATTTCTAACCTTACAATCAGTTAAGTCCTTTGTGGCCCTTCTCAGCTATAGGGAAGATTTGGGTGATTTTAATTCTCCTTTGGACCTGCCATCATCCATACCCTGGGTTGTTTTAATAATATAATTCATCATGCCAGTCAAACACATGTTATATTCCTTTTCTATCCAGCTGATTCCTTGACAAGTCTTTGGGACCATAAGCACTACATGCCTCACAAGGACATATAGTAAGGGGTTTATGGGTCCTATAGGTAATATTTAAGATCCTATTAATATGAAAGAAGAACTTAGGAAATATATATGGATGAAGGGAGTAGAAGCACCTTTTCCGAATGTACACAGGTAACAGTGGTCTTCTCAGGCTCTGGTTAGGTCTGTAAGTGTATAGTTGAATTGAATATACTTGTTGGATCTATTGGTGGCAGCCCTGAAAGTATGGTATCTCTAGGACTAATCTGTCCTGTCATTCATTCTACTCATGCATCTTTTTAATCCATTGCTTTATAGTTCTTGAATAAGTATGATGGAACTTAAAACTGTAATGATAACAGTACCCTTTTAATGTTTTCTTCCACTGCCTAGTAACATTTTATCCACACACAGCCTTACTTAGGCAGAGAAATAGAGTGCAGGAGCTATGGCTCTTTTATTTAGGTGAGTAATAGCTGTGTAGGAAAAGGTTTCTGATGACCAACAAAGTCCACACGGGCTACCTATACCCATCAAAAGTAATATATAGCTGGGCATGGTGACACACCCCTATAATCCTAACTACTCTGGAGGCTGAGGCGGGAGGGTTGCTTGAGCCAAAAGTTCAAGACCAGCCTGGGCAATGTAATAATACCCCTGTCTCAAAAAAAAAAAAAAAAGTAATACATATGATCTTCCAGGATTCTTTGTAACCTGGCCAGGTAGAACAGCCTGGGTGCTGAGATACTTAGAATGACTTGTAAAAGCTCCTGTTCAAAGGTGGTGATGGTGAAACCAGTTTTCAGGTGATATTTAATATTGGCATCTGTAAATAAATGTCAAAAGCATTAGAGGGATGTTAACCTTTTTTACCTCAGGATATTCACTTGCTTGCTGATATAGTTTGGCTGTGTTTCCACCCAAATCTCACCTTGAATTGTAATGATCCCCACGTGTCAAGGGCAGGGCCAAGTAGAGATAACTGAATCATAGGGGTGGTGTTCCCCATACTGTTCTGGTGGTAGTGAATAAGTCTCACAAGATCTGATGGTTTTATAAAGGGGAGTCCTCCTGCACAAGCTCTCTTGCCTGTGCAATGTAAGATGTGCCTTTGCTTCTCCTTTGCCTTCTGTCATGATTGTGAGGTCGCCTCAGCCATGCTGAACTGAGTCCATTATACCTCTTTCCTTTATAGATTACCCAGTCTCGGGTATATCTTTATTAGCAATGTGAGAACAGACTAATACATTTGCCTTGGATGCATTTGGAAAATGTTGTTAATAAGTCAAGTTTAAAATGGGATATAGCATTACCTTGGAAAGGGTTCTTTTAACATTATAAAATGTTAAAGAATGGCTTGTCCAACCTCATACATGTAACTCTTGGCAGAACTGCAAATACAACTTTAGTTTCAAAGTGCTCTTTCATTTACAATAGACGTTAGGGCTTAGGTTTATATTTTAGCTATTAGCATCAATTTTTTTCTACATCTCTATCTATAGTTTTGAAGGAAGAGAGCTTAAAAATATTCTGATCCCATTGGACTGGATTACAGTATTTTTAAACTTGTCAATTTTTTTCTACATATCTATCTATAGTTTTGAAGGAAGAGAGCTTAAAAATATTATGATCCCATTGGACTGGATTACAGTATTTTTAAACTTAGAAGATTTTACCTTTAATTTTTTAAAAAAATTTCAACTTTTATTTAAGATTATGAGTTAAATGTGCAGGTTTGTTGTGTAGGTATATTGCAAAATGCTGAGATTTAGGGTATAACTAAATCCATCACCCAGGTAGTAAGCATAATTCCCAACAGAAAGTTTTTCAACCTTTACCTGCCCACTCCTTTTTTTTTTCTTTTTTTTGAGGTGAAGATTTGCTCTGTCACCTAGGCTAAAGTGCAGTGGTGCAATCTCAGCTCACTGCAACTTCTGCTTCTTGGTTTCAAGCGATTCTCCTGCTTGAGCCTTCTGAGCAGTGAAGATTATAGGCACCCTCCTCCACACCTGGGTAATTTTTGTATTTTTAATAGAGGCAGGCTTCCACATGTTGGCTTGGCTAGGCTGGTCTCAAACTCCTGAACTCAAGTGATCCACCTTATATTCATCATAAGTAATAGATAGCCAGGAGCCACAATGCCTGGCCTTCTCTTCGTCCCCACTCTTATAGTCCCTAATGTTTATTGTTCTCATCTTTATGTACATGTATACCCAATATTCAGCTCTCACTTGTGAGAATATGAAGTGTATTTGGTTTTCTGTTTCTATGTTAATTAAGTTAGAATAATGGCCTCTAGGTGCATCCACGTTGCTGCAAAGGATGTGATTTGGTTCTTTTTAATTGCTGCGTAGTATTCCATGATGTATATGTACCACATTTTCTTTATTCAATCAACAGTTGATAGGTATCTCTGTTGACTCCATGTCTTTGCTATTGTGATTAATGTGCTGTAATGAACATACAGGGACATGTGTATTTTTCATAGAATGATTTATTTTTCCTTTGGGTATATATCCAGTAATGAGATTGCTTGACCAAATGGTAGTTATATTTTTAGTTCTTTGAGAAATCTCCAAACTGCTTTCCATGGAGGCTGAACTAATTTAAATTCTCACCAACAGTGTCTAAGTGTTTCCTTTTCTCCATAGCCTCACCAACATCTGTTATTTTTTTACTTTTTTGTAATACCCATTCTGATTGATATGAGATGATATCTCATTTTGGTTTTGATTTGCATGTGCCTGATAATTAGTGGTATTGAGAATTTTTTTCATATGTTCATTGGCTGCTTGTATATCTTCTTTGAGAAGTATCTGTTCATGTCCTTTGCTAAGTTTTAATGGGGTTATTTATTTTTTGCTTATTAAATTGTTTAAGTTCCTCATCGATTCTGAATATTGGACTTTTTTGGATGTATATTTGTGAATATTTTCTCCTATTCTATAGATTGTCTGTTTACCTCTGAGTACATTATTTTTAAAACATATCTTTTGCAACGGATACTCTTTTGGTACACAGTTTTTGGCATTACTTGCAAGAAGAGGGAAAAATTTTTCCTCCAACTTGGTTGGTATTGGAAAGTCAGGGTAATAAGTTAAAGAACCCTGTTGTTTCCCTTCTCAATATGGTGGACCGAGTTGTTTGATTATTGTTATAAATAAGTGAGTGTAAGTTATCATAACTAAGTATGAACATGATTGAAACTTATGACAGATAAAGATAATGCTTGGACTTCTCAAGTCATACTAGCCCTGATTAAATCATGAAACTCCACACCCTTGGGTTTGCTCACATGTGAAGAACTCTTGAAGTGAAGAAAATTAGATATATATCAAACATACATCCACTTGAGAACCACAAGGTCCTTGATCTCCTTTTTTTTTCTAACCTTGCTCTAGGTTGAATTGAATCTTGAGCAATTCAATATCTTGAATCGATCCAGATATTGAGTCTTGTTCCCAAGTAAGTTGTGATCTAGGACTTTTAAGATTCTCTGATACCACTTTAAATCTTTGGGATTTAGAACTTCAAAGGGTTGTGAAGAGCAGCACATTGGAAGAACTTGTCTTCATAATCCGTTTAGAAGAGATCTGTTGAAAATTTCGATGGGGAAAAATTTGGCATTTTTTCTGGACTTCATGAATCATAGAGACAAACAGGTTTCACCTGAGAAAATGTCCTTTCCTAACTCCTTTACATGTTAAAATTACTTCATTTTAACTTCTTTGTCAACTATTCTATTGCTGGTTGCACATTAAAATCACCTAGTTTAAAAAAAAATACTAATGCCCAAGCCCCATCCTCTGCTTTATTTGATCTGGGACACTAATATTGCTTCAAAAAATACCCAGGTGGTTCTAATGTGCAACTAGCATAGCAAAACAGTGCTATATGTTTCAGAGCACTTTATTTCATAATTTGACACTCTGTTGTCCCATAGTTCTATAAAATTCTGTCTCCCTGGTTATTTCTTTCTTTCTTTCTTTCTTTTTTTTTTTTTTCTCTCTTGAGATAGAGTCTCATTCTGTTGCCCAGGCCAGAGTGCAACAGAGATGTCGGCTCACTGCAACCTCTGCCTCCCGGGTTCAAGCAATTCTCCTACCTCAACCTCCCAAATAGCTGGGATTACAGGTGCCCACCAACATGCCTGGCTAATTTTTGTATTTTTAGTAGAGATGGAATTTTACCATCTTGGCCAGGCTGGTCTCAAACTCCTGACCTCAGGTGATCCACCCACCTTAGGCTCCCAAAGTGCTAGGATTATAGGTGTGAGCCACCACACCCAGCCTGGTTATTTCTTATGATAAACTTTTAGTATAAATACCAAGTCTTAGTCAACTTACATAAGACATAGCCTGTAGGAGTTGCTTGCTCATTAAATGAGTTATTTTTTAAAATCCCCAACACATTCTACTGAACAATCACCAAGATTCTATAATCTGGGACTACATCAGAAAGTAAGACAGACCTAGTCCTTTACCTTAGAAATTTACAGTAATTTGTCCTTAAGAATAAGTATATTGTCCTTGCATTTGCAGATCTATCTAGGGTTAGCTAATAGTTTACCAAGAGGCATCATAGTAGAACAAATAATTGTTAAGTGCTTCCTGTGTGCTAGCCATCGTGCTAGGTATTGGCTACAAGATGGCAGATGAACCAAGCTGCAGAGGTCTCCATTTGGGCATACTCTTTTATCTGTCCTTAGGACTGACCCATTCTGTGTTTTCTAAAACTTGTATGTTTGTAAGATTTTCATTTAAACGCCACTTACTTGACACATTAAATTACAAAGATTTTTAAAATCTAAAAAGATTTCTACGAATTGCTAAACAATTCCTATGGTTTCAATGCCTACCTCTGCACTCTAAATGGTAAATAGAATGAGTAGATGTTCGTAGATTGCTTCAATTTTAGTTTTACCTCAAGTAGAACACAGTATACTTTTTGGGTAATAATGAACATAAAATGTATATCTGGTTATTTCAGTATGGTATGCATCATCTTCATTTCCTTCTAAATCAAAAAATAAGTGTCCATTATGTAGAGAAAATAATTATAATTTACTTGCCTTTCACTTTATGAAGTACTTTGATTAGTTTGAATAACATCATCTAATTTGATCCTTCTACCAAGTCTGAGATGTATGTAGGATGGTTACCAAAGCCCGTCTCTTGATTTTACAGGTGTGAAAACTTAAGCTTAAGTTGATATTCAAGCTCATCTTGCAAGATAATAGGAGAGCTGATAAGTTCAGTGCTCTTTCTGTCATCCCATGCTGCCATAAATTTAAGTATGTATCTATAGGTATCACATACATATGCAAATACCAAGTTTTTCTAAAGTACTTGAAAAGGAAAAACAAAACATTTAGTACATTAATGTATTATAGCATAATATATGTTTTAACAGCTTATTAATTTGCATTAGCTAGAGAAAGATGTGCTCACATTTGTGAGAAATTTGAACGATCAAATATTTTTAAAAGAATGAAGCTTTACCTCTTTCAAGTATATAAAAGAAGCAGATCTGCAATAATTAAAGATTCCTTTTAGAGGTCCTTAGAGTATCTACTTTGGTTAATACTTAAGAATGCTTTGTAATTATACTCTCAATTATCTGTGTGTAAATGGGTGCTCCTCAAGTGCTTGAGGATGCTAACAACAGTGTATTCTCTTAAACAGTCTATATACTCTCCCTGTAAACTTTACTTACACTACGGATTTGTTCAGCAAGTCTTTTTTCCATTGATATGGTAAAGGCAAACTTCTGCTTAGCCACACTTTCAGTAGATCAGGAATTTCAATTTAAGTGAGTCTGAATTAATGAGGTTTTACTTTATTTGCAATTTAATAGATGTTGCCCCATATATCTGTCTTTACATACATGTATAACTTTATTAATATATGTTTTTATACATTTAACGGTATTCTGCAGAGCTACTGACTTGATTTATCAATGAACCTAAGATATTTCAAGTTATTTTATAGCTTCTTAACATAGATTTGCCTTAGTCCATCTGTAGCAGTGGAGGAAAAATTCTGTTTCCTTAAGTCCTTTTATGAAGGTGCCAAAAGGTATAAAAATATGAAGCCATTTAATAGCCAGGCTCTTTGAAACTACCAAGCACACACAGTGTGCGTGCTAAGTTTAATCACAGTGATGGATTTACATGCAATGTCTCAATTCCAGACTCCCTCATTAGTGCAGTCAATCTTGACTCCCTGGTGAGAAGGGTGAAGGTGACTTCAGCACCCCCGAGAGAATGGCTGGATATTGACAACACCCCGAAAAAGACAGTGGGAAAAAGCTGAACCATATGAGACTATAATCCTAGCTGTGGTCAATGTGTTGAAAGCTTTATATTTCCTGACCACAGGATCTTTCTATAAAATGAACGGGGAGGAGGGATATTCCTAGGATTAGCCAGCTGGCTATTTCTATATGCTTATTAAAATTTCTGGAAGAAATGGTGGGGCCTTTTACAATAAGATGACTATATCTGTTTGAAAATCATAAGCTTTTCCTTCCTCCAACTATTTCATTCAAGAGGGCAGAGTAAAATATTTTTAAACTTAAAATTTGACAGTTGCAGCAAATAAATGGGAATATAGAAAATGGTGATAAAAACAGCAGTAGCAGCAGAAGCAAGGAGAGAATCCAGATGTCACCTTTGCAGGAAGTCTTTCTCTCCTCCAAGGACCCACAGGTCAGGCTTTTAAATTTTGGACAAAACACAGTTTCATTCCATGCCATGCAGTGTGGAGACAGCCTCGTTTTTTTGGAGGCTGCATTTGGAACCTGCTGCCTCTTTGTATTCAACACCCACTTGTTATTCCCCTAGTGCTGAATAGTGGCATTAGTGTTATTCCCCTAGTGCTGCACAATAGTGGCATTAAAGAAAGCAAAGCACCGGCAATGCATTTGGCCTCTTTGTTTAGGAGAAAAAAAAACCAAGCAATTTAACAGTTAACATTCATCAGAAGACACTGGGTCATCAGGAACACTGTAGAACTAGCATTAGAATTGGGTGCCTTTTATAAGAAATCCTCAGAGTGTTTAGTCAGTAGTGCCAGATGCAGGAATATTGTGTTTTATAGTCTTCTTTCTTCTCTTACCTCTCCCCTCCTCTTCTTCTTTTTGTTAGAGATTTAGTAAGTGGAACCAAGACTCTCTCTCTCTCTCTCGTTCTCTCTCTCTCTCTCTGTCTCTCTCTCTCTGTCTCTGTCTCTCTCTGTCTCTCTGTCTCTCTCTCTCTCTCTCTCTCTCTCTGAATATATAGATAGATCTCCATTTCCTTCTTCCTCTCCCTCTCTTTTAAAAAGATCACTGAGCCAACCAGATTTTCATTTTTAGATGAGGGGTCCCAGGATATACATAGAGGATATCCAGTGAACTTTTAGTATCTTGAAATTTTATCATTCAATTTGAGACTGTATCTTTTCTTCTAACTGATATTTTCAGAACTGCATATTTGATTGGGTCTTTGAGTGAACTTGAAGAAAAATCTTTTGTTGAAAAATATAATTAAAACAATAGTTTAAATTTGTTTAGCTTTTTTACAGTTTATAGTGTGCCTTTATATATTTTATTTAATTCTCCACAACAATTTATCTAATATATTATGAACTACTTAGAATCAGTTAAGCACAGGGCTGTTAAGGAAAGTTAATAGTCTTGTTCAGCAATAAGCAACTGAAAGTTAAAACCTGACCCTCTGGAAATCATCTAATTGCCATTGGACATCCTGCCACATCAGAATCCTCTAAATCATGATAAAAAATGCACATTTATCAATTTGACTACAATAATTTAGATGGTCCATGAAAGAATGAATTAACATATTTTAAAGAGGTATGTATATATGAATTAGCATATGGGTTATATGTATAAGGGGCCCAATTCTAATGCTACTTCTATAGTGTTCCTGATGACCCAGTGTCTTCTGATGAATGGTAAGTTTGTTTCCAACTCTCTGGTTTCTGGGGGTGGGGTGTGTGTGTGTATATATATATATGTAAAGGGTGGTACTACAAGATAAAGACAGGGCATTGAGTTTTAGAAAGATTTCTGTTTTCTGGCATTTAATCACCAGGATTTAAGAGCATAAAAAGACAAAGAATATGTTAAACGACTGTCCAAATGTGGAATGTGGGAAGGGAATATGAGGATGGGGAAAAAAGCAAGATAGGACAGATAGGAGAAATAAAGGAAAGAATAGATTAACAAGAGGGAAAGTAAGTGAAATAGCTGGTGATACCACTTTTTTCTGACTGAAGGCTAATTTTGGGACCCTAAAATATAATATTTAAATGGACTCAATTAGATATATAACATGAGTTTGAGACAAGAAAAGGTTTCCTTCACTCTAAATAACTCTTTACCTGATTCTTGATGCCAGAAATTCTCTTAACCTGAGGCAAAGTTTTTCAGTTCTCTATTACAAATAAAGATTTTTAAAGCACAAATCTACAGGTAAAACAGTACATTAGTATGAAAAATTTTCTGTCAAAATATAAAGGGTATAGGGGCTGTATTCACAATAAAATATTCTTTGTGTTTTAGATAATGTGGTGGAGTCACCACTAAACCAAAAATGAAAGGAGTCACCGAAGACTCTAAAGAGGTATTTTACAATTACAATTTGCACCTGTTGTATTCATGTAATTGCATATTAACAAACAGGTTATTTATAGATGTATCTTAGTAAATGTGATATATGTAATAAGGTAGTCTTCTCTGAAGTAGCCTTTCTGATCTTTTCTCAAAGGTATAAATCTCAGATACAGTCAGATGATGGATTTAGAGAGCAACGGTTTTTCTAAACAAAAGAGAAATTCCAAACCCTAGAGAAAGATTCATAAAACTTTATGTCTTGCTGGTAAATATTTTTAGCCCAGCAAATGATTCAGTTAATTTCAACATACTAAACTCTACTATATAGAGGGCAGTGCACTAGCCTCTGTAGAGGATAACAAGGTGAAGAGACACAGTTTTGTAGATCCAAAATAACATAGAGTTGAGCTAAGGAAGGCAGTGCTGTTTCTTAAGTTGGATAAGTTGAATAGAAATAAAAAATAATGTGTAATTTAAAGCTAAGTTACTTTCCCTTCCCTTCTCTTTTCCTTCTCTTCCCTCTACATCCATCTTTTCATCCATCCTTTTAAATTTTTTTCTTACATATTTGTTTCCTTGAGTGCCAGCTTTGTCTTTACTCAAAGCAAGTCTGGCATTCATCAACTTAGCAGAGATAATCCTTAGTTCCTAGAAAGGCTGATTTTTGTTGTTGTTGTTGTTGTAATGAAATCATGAAAACAGAGGTCTAACATTCCAGGTTTATGCATGCCAATGTATCCAAGTAAAAGAAGGGAAAGGCATGAATCTTCAAGTAAGAAGTACTGGGTAATTAGAGACAGGTGAGTTTACTTTAAATTCAATTATTAACTACTTGTGGCTTTAAGGGACTGTATCTTAGTTTATTCATTTATAAAATGGAAATATCATTTTATACTTGCCTCCTAGAGTTGCTATGATGGTTATATAATTAATATATTAAAAAGTGTTTGGTTTCAGTGCTACAAATGTTAGTTTAGTAGGAGCCTGGATTTTTTCATTAATTAACATAGTACATCACATGAAATGAAAAATAAAAAGGAACCCTATTCTGTATTTTGTATGTGAGAGAAGAGAGACATAAATTGCTTTGGTTGCAGTTGCATAAAAAGCCAAAGACAGGAAAGCAAATCACCTTTACGTGTTTTATTTTCTTAGCTGGAACAGGTTGAATTTTGTCCTTCAAAATATATGTTTAAATCTTAACTTTTGGCACCTGTGAAGTTGACCTGATTTTTTTTTTTTTTTTTTTTTCTCTTAAAAAGAGTCTCGTGGAAATAATTAAGGTAAGGATCTTAAAATGAGATCATCTGGGATTTGGGTGGGCCCTGAATTCAATGGTGGGTATCCTTAAAAGAAACAGAAAAGAAGATACACAGACACAAAAAGAGAAGCTGTGAGAAGACAGAGGCAGAAATTAAACTGCTGTGTCTTCAAGCCAAGGGATGACAGTCACCAGAAGCTGGAGAGAGGCATGGAATAGTTTCTCTCCCAGAACCTCCAAAAGGACTCACTCCACCAACCTATTATTTTCAGGTTTCTAGATATCAGAAAGGTAAGAGACTAAATTTCTGTTAAGTCACCCAAAAGATTCTAATGAGCACTAAATTCCAGACCTACGGCTTGAGCATTGAGGGAAACAAATTTGCGAAACTAGAGCTCATTATTTCTACTTAATTTCTGGCAAGTTGTTTTATAGAAAACTCTCACCTTACCTCTAGGCATGATTGATACCAACTTAGCTTCAGATAATGCTAAGAAAACTTTCATTTCAATGTCTTTTCAAGGAAATTAGGTCTAGAAATCAGATAATTTCACAGGGTAATAAATAGATCCTAGAGGTAGTTTCTGGTTTAATTTGAGAATGCCTATCTAACAAAATATATTAAATTTAGGCCAAAATGTGTTACTTTTCTATTACTCTTGAAACCAGAGCTTGTTGGAAGAACATTCTTTTCAGATTTAACTAATTTGTCATTAATAAGCTGTGTTCAGAAGTGCATGGTCCTGCCAAATGCTACATTTGAAAAAGTTTCCTGTGACTTGAAACCATTATTAGGATATTTGTCTCTTACAGCTTTTTTTTTTTGTCTCTTACAGCTTTAAAATGCATGTTAGCCTAGTAAGTGCTCTGAAAAGTCTCAGAATACAAAAACTATTTATCCCTGTATAAGAATTACTGAAATTTATTCGAAAATAGAAGGTTGTTTTCCCTCTCTCATATAATATTAATGGATAATACACAAAATAAGTGATCTCCAGAAAACTGTTTTTTTAAAAATATGTATTATTAGAATTTTGTTGGGTTAAGAAAAGACTGTTAAAGGAGACAGCTTGAGGGACTCACATTGGACAAATCTGGGACAATTTGCCCATCAAAATGAGTAAGCATAGTAATGGGTTATAACCCATGGAAAATACAAAAATCGATAACTCCATACTAACAATCAATTAATTGATAAATAAGTAGAAGGAAAATAGAAGAAAGCTCTTCCTGGTAGTAGGATTCCAAGTAATAGATGGAAAAGGAATAAGAGTTTTTAGAAATCACCATTTTGCAATCATCATTGTAAAATTTGATTTGGACAAGAGTCATCAATGGATCTTAAAACTAATGAATACAATTTGATGGATGACAAGTTATTTATATAATCTCAAGGCATGTCCCCAACTGATTACTTATTAATTGTAAGAGAAAAAAATCTTGGTAGAAAACACTGGCTACCACTGTCTCAACAAGTACCCTGTGCCTCCTCAGGTATCACCCTATGATACCCTGATAAGAAGCCACTTGCTTTGTCACTCTACTGTTTGAGATTTGGCAAACAATGCATAACTTGAAATTAATCACAAGAAAACATCAGGAAAACCCAAATTTAGGGACAGTGGACAAAACAAGTGGCCTTCACTCTTTAAAAATATCAATGCTGTGAAAAAGAATGGCCAAGGAACTCTTTCTTTCAGATTTAAAAAGACTTGAAACTAAATGCAATTTATAATCCTAGAAGCTGGATCGAAGAAAAAATTGCTGTAAGGATTTATTGGGGAAATTGTGAAATTTAAATATGGTCAATATATTAGAAAATAATACTGTATACATGTTTTTCAAATTTTGATAATCATACCTTATCAAAAGGTGACATGATATATGCAACTTACTCTTTTTTAAAATTACTATTTTGTGAGGCTGGATCTCACTTAGTTGCCCAGGCTGTAGTACAGTGGTGCGATTGTAGCTCACTGCAGTCTCAATCTCCATCCTCAACCATCCTCCCACCTCAGCCTGCCAAGAGCTGGGACTACAGGCCTGTACTACCACAGCTGGCTAATTTTTAAAGTTTTTAGTAGAGATGAGGTCTTGCTAAGTTGCCCAGGTTGGTGGTGAACTCCTGAGCTCAAGCAATTATCCCACCTTGGCTTTTCAAAGTGCTGAGGTTACAGGTGTGAGCCACTGCACCTGGAAAAATTAATATTACTTTTGATTGACAAATCATAATCATATGAATTTATGGGATAAACGTAATGCATACAGACACACACACACACACACACGCACACACACGGTGGAGCTTATTTTTAAATATTTTAGGAGAACATGAGAGAAGGAGAAAGAGGAAGGAAAGCAACAAAATGAGTAAAATGGTGAATCTGTGTGAATATGGGGATGGTTTCTTCTGAAATCACTTGTGTACGTTTGATAATATTTCTACATAAGAATTTTGTAAAAAGTGGAGAAAGCCTTTTTTTTTTTCCAGAAAGGATTTCCTACTGCTAAAGAGAGAAAAATTGAATTATGCATTTGCACTGTATATCTAAAACTAGTAACTTTTCAGCTCCCACTAGTGAATGAGAGTAACAGGCTTAGATGCTGTCATATTTCTTTGCATTAAATATAAGAAACTAACAGTATTGAAGGTTCAGACTGGTCAAACAACATAGCTCACACATTTCCAATGCATAATATTATGTTCTGAACATAAACATATAATGCAAAATACTCTACAATGGGCTAGGCTTAGGTCAAATATCATTTGGTTTAACATGCAAACAAACACAAAAATCTTGATTGAAAACATAATTTGTGACCTTTTAGTAGAATTTTCTCTCTTTAAAAATGACCAAATGGAGTTGTTTAAAATATATATACAGATACTTTATAAAGATACAAAAAATTAAGAACAAATGCTCATAATAGAATGAAATAGATGTACTTACAAATCATGAAATTACACACAGCTGTAGATAAAACCAACTCTAATTTGGAAATAGTGACATTATAATTCTGGGTTATTTCTTCATTTCTTCCCACCAAAGACAGCAGCAGATGTGGCTGAAAAAAAAAATCTCTGCTGTTGTTCAGGTCTAGATACTCATTTTTTCTATTACTGCCTGGAGTCTATATCAGTCTGTGCCCATGTGCCCATGTTGATGTGTTGCATTTTACAGTGGTCTATTGAGGCCTTGTCACACTTCTGTCATACTTACATATGAATTGTGTAGAATTCTTTGTCTCTGCCTGTGACAACAAAGTTTAGAATTTGAAGTGCAAAATCCTTATCTACTCATATCTGTTTACTGGTAAATAAAGCCTTATCTGCTGGCTTTAGCTATTTGCTTCCTATCTCCTACTATGTCAATTCATGTTACTGCTGGAAATGTGATTAGCCTCCCATTTGGGTACATTGTTTTTTGGTTATTATTATTATTATTTTTGAGAAGCAGTTTCACTTTTGTTGCCCAATCTGGCGCAATCTCGGCTCACCACAACCTCCACCTCCCAAGTTCAAAGGATTCTCCTGCCTTGGCCTCCAGAGTAGCTAGGATTACAGGCATTTGCAACCACTCCTGGCTTATTTTGTATTTTTAGCAGAGACAGGGTTTCTCCATGTTGGTCAAGCTGGTCTGGAACTCCTGACCTCAGGTGATCTCCCTGACTAGGCCTCCCAAAGTGTTGGGATTACAGACATCAGCCACTGTGTTTAGTTATTCTGTAGCTGCCTAGAAATCTATTTATTTATTTATTTTTGCTGTAGCTATTGTAGCTATGGAGAGACTGAAAATATTCCTGGATTTTAGGGGTGGGAAACAGAACAAGTTTCAGGCTGAGCACTAGTTAAAAAAACGTCTCCCCCACTACTCAGAAGTAATTTACTTTATTGTTACTTCCTGTGTTTTGCTATCAACAACCCCCCATGACATCAGCAGCCTTTGGTTAAAAGCTGTTCACTGATTCCTTGACAGGCTTTTGCTGTTTAACTGTTTCAGGCTCACTTAAATATGCCATATACACATGCCTCCAAGTTATTTCATGGGGTTTTCCCATGAAAAGGTCCTACATCTAAATTAAAATCTTCAAAGACACACCCTGTTTTAAAAAGTAGCAGGTTTAGAATTGAGCTAGAAGAAAAAAATGTGAAAAAGCACAGGACCCGTGGGCCTCTCGTGAAATTCTTTATTGTCAAGATTTTATCATAACATAGGACACAGATGGGTAGTACAGTGGCAATGGAAAATTTAGGATTGAGAAGGGGGGATATGATTTTTTTTCTGCCTATATAAACTTTCTCATCCCTGTCTTCTTCCCTGACAACTACCGGTTGTAAAATTGTCCAAGCCTCCACCAAAGAGTGATTTTTGCTGTGTCTGAGTCAGTGCTGTAGTAGCACCAGTCAGAACCTAGCCATTAGCAGGAACTGTTACAAATGTGGGGGCAAGAACACAGTAAGAGAGATCCTCCCTTCAGCAGCAGTAGTTCCTTGGGGTCTTCATAAAGATAGCCTCCTATCAGGTTGGCTTACAGATTGTCATCATGTTTACAGATTGTCCTGGAAATGAAATGCCACGTGAGGGGGATCCTGGGGTACTGCTCTTGAAATGAACTCAATATGAAAAATTAAAGTGACGTGAGATCTTAGTACAAGTCAAAAACCTATGCAGAGTTGTAGATGAAAGAAAGTATTGTAAATTATGTTCTAACACATGGGGGACATTTATATCAATCATTAGGGCTAGAAGATGAATTTCTATAGGGTTAATTGATAAGCCACATTAAAAAAAAGCTAATGTAGATAATAGATGTGTAGAGAATAGTACCCCTGGCGTTTGGGCCAGCAGCTGTCCTCTGGGTTGTAGTAGCTAACAGTCAGGAAATCATTTTTAACTGTGTGTGTAAGAAAATGCTGAGTATCTTTTCCTCTTGACATCCCTGAACATCCTAAGTCATTATAGGTGCTAAAGCCATGTACAGATTTTAAAGCACTACTTACAGATTCCAGAGGAGAAGCCC